ATTAAGCCAGGCAGCATCAAAGGAGCAGGAAAGTGATGTTTTGGGTTGGGACCCTTCTTCAGAAATCTAAAGAAGGGTCCCGAATCGAAACATCAACTTTCCCGCTCCTCTGATGCTGCCTGGCCTGCTGTGTTCTTCAAGTTCCACACTGTGTTATCTCTGACTCCAGCATCTGCAGTTCTTGCTTTCTCCAAGTAACATAATTATAAAGGTTTCCTATTTTGGATCTCCAGGGCCCTCTGCCTGTTCTTTTCTGCCTGTTCAGTCTCATTCTCTTTGCCCACCACTCGCCTCCAACCCAAGTCTTTTTTTTAACTTGTAATCTGTTTCTTCCGCCGTCATTGATCTGTTCCCAAGTCTTATATGAACGTTTTTTCCTGCAAAGATTTTCTTAACCTTTTTTGGCACTTAGTGTCTTTTGCGACCTAAAATCAGATTTATGGCATAGTTCTATGTATTCCCATTGCTGCCCCTGAGAAGATAAAAGAATAGCCCTTTAGAGTTCTTCACAGCTGTATTTCATATAAATAACTATTTCAGTTGGGTGTACTCCTTATATCATCATTTATATGTAAATTGTCATAAAAGTTCTTCACCTTCTTTAACAGATATAGAGTTCAATCTATCAATATTAATACAATCGTCTGAAATAAATAGTAATTTTTACATTTTCAACTAATATCTAACTAATTAAATACACAACTCCTGAATTTTCAATTCATAAATATCGTATCAGCCTCAATTTATATATTCAAGTTAATTTCACAAATAATAATTTACTTATTCAGCGGATTGATATAATTTCTTCAAACATTTTACCATTTTCATATTTCCTTCAGCAAAAACTAAATTGATTTTAATATTTTATCAACTGAACTTTAATAAATTATCAAGTCATGCTTCATATATTCTCTCAATTATCCCTTTATCATTTCTATCATCTCAGAATGTTGCTGATTCTAGTAGCTCATATGATTTTAAACTTACAAAGTGACATTGAAGCCAAATCGGACGATGGTGTGGGGGAATGGATTTTTAATGATTTGGGATTGGAAATGCAGTCAGGGTTAGATAGCATTTGGAAGCTGTGAACACTCTACACTCCAGTTCTGGCTGAAAAGGCAACCAGGGAGGGAGACAGATAGAAATGGGGCAAAGGAACTCAGTCTGATCTGTTGGCCAAAGACAATGGCTTAGGCCTGACCAATGTTTTCCTTCTTCATTTTCACCATCACATTAGTGGCATCGAGTTGCTTCTTCTCTGGTTTTCCTTAGGTGTCCCTTTGTCTACATCTCAATGTTATCCACCCATCCAATCTTTCATCTTCCACTTCTGTTTGTGGAAATTGCAGTTCTTACAAAACATGGAAATTGATGATGATCAGATGTCCAAATGTTACATACTCAGTACATACATATGGGCATTGTTTGTATTTTACCCAGGGCCTTCTTTATCTTTACTGATTGTGTAGCCTTTGGGTTCCACGCCCCTGCTATTTATCACTCCCTGTATTCCTGGATTTGTCTGTCTGTGAGTTCCCCTCTCTGTACATCTTCAGCTGTGTTCTTCAATGCTATCCCATTTGTTTTTACTGAGAATGTTTCTGACTGCAAATATATTCATTGAGTAACTGAAACTCATTCAACTCCTTCAGCTTCCCCCTTTTTGCGGAGCAAAGCAGAAGTTGCCCTCCACCCTTTTTGCAGAGGCCTGGCCCCTGGTAATCAACTTTCCCTTTACACTCCACCACTTGTAGATACTCACCAGCTATTGAACTTCAGATTGTAAAGGTATTTTGTTATACCATCCGTACACATTGACCCAGCAATACGGGCTCTTGCCTCATCATTTGGATCCTGCATTCTCTGATACCCATATTTCTTGCCATCTCTTGCATGTCCTTCTGATGTGATGAACCAAATAGGTTAAGTATAAAACCAATACCAACCGGATGACATCAAATCATGGGAGATGATCCTGATCCATAGGAGTAGCCAGACATTCAATCCCCAATTCCACCAGTCCTCCCACCAAGTCTAATATAGTCAGCCAATGTTCTAGTTTGTTGATGCAGTGTATAATCTGTTCTATACAGTGGGGCTGTATAGGAGAACTGTTTCAGATATACTGTCAATTTTTATTGTTTATCTCCTGTGGATTTCTACCAGTTCTACCATTCCCCACCCTAGCCAGTACCCATGGGTATAGATATACAGCATACTTGATTATAAAACAGGGTTGATTATTCCCATATGGCGCTCCTTTTCTAATGTGGCAATACAATATCTTCCAGTTATACAACGGAGTTTGTTCTATTGCTGCTGATATAGCTTCCATCAAATAACAGGCTGTTGTGCTGAACTAGCACATTGTTTCCTCTGTCTAATAAATCAAACGTGGACTCACTGCTGCGGAGATATACAACTACATCTATCTAAAATGGGGCTTACTATGTTACCTCTCTATCTTTGCTGCCCGTGATAGTAAATTATGGTAATTCGCATAATAATCCCCCGTAAATCCCCCTATATAAATATTAATGGGTGTTGATCCTGTATAACTGGGATTGCCAGAATAATGACAAATGACAAACTCTTGAGGTGGCAGCAAGTCAGACCAGACTCCCTGTGCCATGACAGGTTGCTATGGACAAGACCAAACCCCCTCAAAATACATTAAGAAGGTAGCCTAGACACTAACTTTTTCTTATTTTAAAGGTAAGTTTAAGGTGGTGTGTTCCAGCTGCAATTCGATTGGTCAAACTATCAGGCTTGAAACAAAATGCATTTTATTCATACACTATAATTAAAATACAAAATTAAAATAAAAGATTTGACTTAACTGCAACTCTATTGAAATGCTTAACAAAATTACATATGTGTATAAAAACTGCAACTAATTAACTATTCCAATATAGTAACATCCCATAAACACACTCTTAGCAAAGGCAAATTCAGTAAACTTGATTGTTTTACATGCAATTCTAACTGCAGAAAGAGAACCATGGCTGTAACAGAGAGAGGAATAAAGAGCTTCCAAATCCAGCTTCAAGACCCCGGCAACTGCTACAGAAGGCTAAAACTAAAACAAATCCTGGTTCTGCAGGAGCTTGTCCCCACCATAGTGGCTGCTTCTATTGTTCCAACTTTTACAAAAATCCCAAGGCCTCACAAGCTGTTTACTTTATTAGCTTTGGAGCAGACTGCTTTTCACCACCATCTCAATCTTTCTTCATTAAAAAAAGGATAAAATACACTTCTTAAAGCCATAGCATCTTCACAAGGTTAAACAATTGCAAACTAGTTATCCACAGGGGTACCTTGCCCTATGAATTTGTCTCAGGTTTCCCCTCATCTGCTCAAGCATTCACAATGCATAGATACTGCAGACATCATTCTGACTACATTGTTTGAGAGATTTTTCAGTACTTATCAATGTACAGTATTAATAGTCCATGCATGATTCTTTATTACAGTGACCAAGCCAAATCAGTTCAATTACATACTGAAGTTTCTGCGTTAAACACTGTAGCAGCATGATTGCCCAGACTGTTGTAGTCAACCTTTTCCCAGTACAGGGAATGCAGCCAACTGGAATCGGTCATGATTAGACGAAGCTGTCTATGTTGTTACCTGTTTTACCAAAGTTTGTACAATCCTTGGGTTTGAATTAAACACTACTCAAGCAAACCAGTACCTGGGCTGTTTAGAACAATGGGTACCAGCTCATAGTGTACAATTTCAGATCAAACTTTTTATCATTCCTTACTAACGCCAGTTCATTTTTCAGGTTCTGGACTCAATGCCAGACAAAAAGGGTCTGTGTCTTTCTCTTACTGGTTGATACTGTTGCTATGGTGGGTAGGGCCATGGTTTAATGTTAGACCATAAAAAATAAGAACAGGAGTAGGCCATTCGGCCCCTCGACCCTGCTTTACCATTCAATAGTATCATGGCTGATCTGACATTCCTCACGTCCACTTTCCGGCCTTTTCCCCATTATCCCAGATTTTTGGGAAGTGATCTCTCTCAGCTTAAATATATACTAAGACTCTGCCCCCACCCCCACAGCTCTCTGTAACAAGGAGTCCCAAAGAGTCACAGTTCTCTGAGAGAAGAAATCCCTCCTCATTTCAATCTTAAATTGGCAGCCCTTTACCCTTTACTCTGAGGCTATGCCTTCTGGTCCCAGACTCTCCCATGTGGAGAAACATCCTGTCAACATTTATCCTGTCAAGTCCCTTAAGATTCCCATATGACAAAAACCACCAATCTCCCTGTCAGTAATCAGTGGATGGCACCTGGATTATTTTTTTCTCTCTGTCCTGGCAGCTCCTGTCCCTCGCTGAAGGTTAGTTAGTCAACAGCAACTAGCACCAACAATTGCGCTGCAATGATGCAAAGAACCCCTAGGTGGCGCGGGTTTCTGAAGCGGCCGAGACCCCGAGCCTTTTAGACGGACCCCGCGTTGAGGATGCAGTGGACATGCGCGCCGTGAGGAGGCGGTGTCTCTGGCGGACCCGGCGAAGTTCGGAGCTGGAGCGGTGCCCGGTGCCCTGATGCTGCTGTGGTTTGGGCGGACACGGGGATTTCGAAGCTGCAGCAGCAGCACTGGGCGCCGGAATAGAGCGGTGGTTTGGAAGGACCTGCAGCGGCGCCGAGGTGGGCGGTGATTTGGGAGGACCCGGTGTTCCGAGCTGCAGCAGCGATGTTGGCCGTCAGGGGGCGGTGTTTTCGGAGGTCCAGGTCGGCATTTTTTTAAATGGAGCTGTAGTGGTTCTGGGCGCCGTCGGGTGCGTGGAGCTGCATTGACTCTGAGCGCCATTAGGAGGCGGTGGTTTAGGAGGCCCCGGATTCAGAGTTGCAGCGGCTCTGGGCGCTGTGAGGTGAGTTTTGGAGCGGCAGTGGCTCTCTGGGCGCCGTTAGGAGGCGGTGTTTCGGGAGGAGCCCGGGGTTCGTAGTTGCAGTGGCTGTGGGCGCCGTCAGGGGGCGGTAGTTTGGGCGGACCCGCGGCTGCTCCCAGAGGTTTCGGCAGTTTGGCGCGGTTGGAGCTGCTGAAGCTGAGCCAGGTTTTCCGTCTGTTGCTTCTCATTGAAAGCGGTTTTGGCGGCCATTCCCCCAGAGTCATGGATATGAAGAAGAGGATCAACCTGGAGCTGAGGAACAGAACTCCGGCGGATGTAAGCCTGGCGATTGGGCGGGAGGGGGGTTTTATTGAGCGGCGATGTGGGGGTTGGGGTTGATGCTGCTGATGATGGTGGTAAGGCAGAAGCGGATTGAACCGGACCGCGTGGCCGCAGCAGGGCGGGAGAGTAACAGAGACCTCGGGCCGTGTTTAAATTTCCCGCCCGGCGGGCGGGAGGGGTGTCCCGGCCCCTTCCTCAGTTTGCGGTATTGCGCCGCGTCCCGCTCCCCTTCGGCGTGAAGCCGGGTCCAGGGAAGGAGGGATGAAGAGGGGGGGGGGGGGGAATATGTTCAGGCCCGCACCGGGCGGCCCCTGCGCTGTTTTCCCGCCCGCTGGGCCGTTGGTCGGGCTGTGCGGAGGGGTGGGGTGGGGGAGTGCGGCCCGCAGGTCCTCCCCGGGGATTTGGGTTGAGCGTGGGGGAGGGGGAGGTTTTTTTTATTTCTCCTCCCCCCCCCTCCGGGCCTGGGCCGCTCTCTGGGCCGCCTCCCCTCCACGTGTTGCCGGGGGGAGGGGGAAGGAAGGATTCGCCTGGATAGGGCCCGATCTCCACGAAGGGCGCAATATTCCCCCCGGCGGGAGTCTCTCCCCATCCGTTCAAACAGGCGGCTCCAGGCTCTGACCTCCCCGAATATTGACTCACCTCTTTGTTGTGGGTCTCCCATGAGGAGCATGGGTTTTTAATGGAAGTTTACTTCCAGCACATGGATTGTGAATGTTGCCTTTTCGGTGATGGCTTCTTTATTTCATCCGTTTATATCTTTACAGAAACTTGAATGAACTGTGGACATGACTTCTGGATTTTCATTTCATGTTTTGTTTTTCTGCCATCAGTTGCATGTAGTTATAACTGAATAAAGTTTCTTAATTGGAACAATTCTTTTCCCTCTCCCCCCCGCTTTACTAACTCTTAATTGCTCGCAGATTATTAACATTTCTGAAATAGCTTCGTTTTGTAAGTGGATGATCTTGGAGATATTTTGAGAAGTATTCTCAGGCATCCTTTGCATTGCAATAATATTCAGACTTAATTGTAAAATATTGACGTAGCTCTGTTTAGCATTCATGTTGCCTAATGAGTAGTATGACACAAAAGCTTGCATTTATTACATTTTGGTGATTCCTTTAATGTCAGTAGGATAATGTAGCAAAACTGGGTTGGGCAATAAAATATTTATCTTGGTAGAATATATTCATATACTGTGAAGTATGCATTGACTCAATGATTATGAATTGGGAAAAGGAAATGTAGTTATGGCAAGAGCAGATATGACTTCAGGAGAATGCTGAGTGATTAACCACACAGCGTTGTGGATCTGATTGGCAAATTAGTAAAACAAAGCAGCCTCACTGGTGAGTATTGACCACTGAAATTGTTGTGTGGGATTTGGTGGGAGGTTAGCGACAGGTACCTGACAGTGGAAATCCGTCATGAGGTTTGAACTTCAAATCAAGTTATTAAGAAATCCACAAGTGCCGTTTCTGTTTGGGGGATGTTGAGTTGTCACAATTTTCTTGAAGGGACTTGTCGCACTCACTTAACCCAGAGAACTTGGCCAGAGTGTGATAACGGTCAAAGATTACGGAGCCCTGTCGTAAGTGTAAAGGCACAGAGCATCAAGAGTCTTCTGTCACTTGTCCAGTTTAGACTCCATTTCACGTTAGATCCAGGTTAGCTGCAGCTGGCAGAAAGATCCCAGCAACATGTTCTCTGCTTGCTATCAAGGCCCTTAGTGGATAGGAGTCTCTGGTGTCAGTAATGAGCCAGCCTAGTTCAATCATTGACAATCTTCTAATTTACCGTGGAGCTGTCTCAGTTTGGAACCACCTTCAAGCAGGACAGCCGCTAGCTGATCATTTAAATATCTGCTACACATGTTTGAAGGCTTCCTCAAAGGGTCTGTTCTTTCCTCTGAGTGGTTGTAGAATCTTGATTTCCATGAGCTAAGATATTGTTGCATAGAGGTGTCATCGTGCAGGCTTATCTTAGCCTTAAGCTCTATTTTCTTCCACCTCAGAAAAATGTTAAAGATGCTATGATAGTGTTCAGCTACAGTGAGTTATCTGTCCAGAATGTTTATTCCTGAACCATATCTGCCAATGTAGGTTATAAAACCATAGCATTGAACTTGCAATGTAATTCAGTGAGCAGAAGCAGTCTAACACATGCTAAGGCTGTGACAAGTACTAGAATTGTAAGTTCCTTAAATCTTAGTAGGTGTGGGTACCAGAATTTTTTAGAGTAATATTGTATGCAACACCAGTCAATTGTTTTAAAATGAAAATATCTGTTATCGCATCCTACCCACAACATAGATACATGTTTTATGTTTGTCAAATGTCTAACCTTGGTTTCATTGGTTGTAGATGGTGGAACTTCAACTACTTGTTTATGTGCAGCAGTGCTGTCGTCACTACTGAATTTTGGGTAAATGTGTCTGTGTACCCAGCTTGTGGTAGCCATGAGCTATGACTTGAAGCTTCAGACAATCATAACAGTTTATGCAGACAGTTACCCTGAATGCTGTCATATATCCCAAGTTTAATGTTATTTAAATATTTGATCTTTATAAACTGATTAAGTTATCAGTTCTTCCTCAGTAGTAGTGCACAAATCTGACTTAGTAGATCATAGATTCAAGGCCCACTGTGAGACCTGAACACATGATCCAGACCAGCTTCACTGTGGCACTGGGAAAATAGAGATGTTGCGTATTTTGGCTTCTTGAGCTGAGATGTTAAACTGACCCAATCTACCTTTCAGAAGGTCAAAAGTCCCTGTGGCACCTATTAAAGCAAAACAGGAGGATTCTGGTGAACTGGCCAGTGTTCAGCCATCCACATGCTCAGCTGACAATATTTTATTTCAGCATTTATTTTGTTGCTATTTTTGACTCCTTTCTCTATATATTCTCTGAGGTGGTTTTGCATGTTGCAAGTGTCCTGTTGATAACTATAGAGTTTTGAGTCGTCTTCAGGTCATGCCTGGTAATATCAAAGTGCATTTCCTTTCTTGATCCAGATCTTTGAGCAATTTTGGGAAGGTTGTGTTCACTTTTTGAGTTCTGCTGTTGTACCTCCCTGAATGCAGTTTCCCTGTTGCCACAAATTGATAATGGTTCATTCTATGCTGATGAACCTAAAGAATGATACTTGTTAACAAAGGCAGATATTTTATCACTGCATTGCTGTACAGTCAATATGAAATAGTAGTTGAACTATCATTTCCTCTACTGTGATAAAAGGTACAAGATACAGTTCTCAGCAGTACATTGCCAGGCGTACTGCTCCATTCTGGGCTGTGTTCTCTTCACTCCCCTTGTCCAAGTTATTTCAAAGACCACTTTCTTTCATCAATGTAATATTCCTTAACTCATTTTTAGCTTGTAATAAAGTGCAGTTTATCTATGACACTCAAGAAAGTCCTTTGCTCCTGCCCCTTCATTGCTGTATTCCAGTAGATTTTCTAATTGCTCAGTGGATTTTGTGCATGGTAGCTCTACAATCTCCAGAGGTTGTGCTGCACACACCCCTCTGCATATCTGAGATTATATTATTTCTCATTCCACACTCCCTCTACCCTCAGCATTAGTGGTAATTCCTATCTTTAGCTTTACTCAGAGAACACTACTATAATTGTCAAAATTAGACCATTAAATTTTTGTGTCCCATCAAAATATAATTCAATCAATAAGATGTTTGAATCAGGAGGTCACAGTTACCAGTAGGGGGCCATGTTGCCAAGTCACATCTATAAGCCAGGTTCTGCCCCAAACCAGCACTGAACAATTAACTAATCTTGTTGACACTCTTTTACTCCCATTTTGTGTTTACTTCCTACACATCTGAAGGGTTAACTCCTTAAAGAGGCACTGGCCGAGTACAATAACGAATGTAGACAGTGATCAGGCTGCATCATCTCAGTACATTTTGCCCTCACTGTGTCTTCAGACACAACTGGAAAAAACCTACCAACATGGGATCTGACAAGTAGTAAGTTAGTTTTGCTTGTACACCTGAGTTAGCCAAGGTGGGTGCAACTAGAAGACAGAATTTTGGGGCGGGGGCTAATTTTACCAGGGTTTAATCCTGGCCTGCACTGGAAGCCTGCTTCACTGGCAAGGGGTGATTTGGATAGAAAGATGACAAGAAAGGCATCTGTGGTGTACTGAAAACGGCAAAAAATTATGTTTTAACTAGATTCAAAGTTCGAATAAAATAAATCAAGTGTACTGCATTTATCTGAATTGTATTATGCACTTTTGAAAACACTTGATTTTTCTCTTACAGGTTAAAGAACTGGTTCTGGACAATTGCAGGTCAAATGATGGCAAAATTGAAGGATTGACTGCAGCATTTGAAAGCTTAGAATTTCTCAGTATGATCAACGTAATGCTGACATCTGTGTCAAATCTCCCAAAGTTAAATAAACTAAGAAAGGTGAGGACTTGAACTCATGCTTTGGATAGAATTAATTATCCTAGAAAAGTCCGGCTATTGACACAGTCAGTTGACTGTGCCGACTTACAATGAATGGTGCAGTCTTCCTGCTGTGAAGTTTTTCATCAGTAAATATATTGTGCTCACTACATTGATCTTGAATTCTGAGCATAATAGAATACAATAATAAAGCTACTTAGCTAGTACTTATTTGTGGTACATTATGAAATACCTGCAACAATTTAAACTTCCATTCAATACCTGCTTAAATCTTTATCATTTTTAATGATTAGTTATGTGGCGGTAACTAATAATCCTATATATGTTAGTGAAGGAGTATTTCTTAATGCACCCTATGCATGACTTAATCTTTCATTCTGAATATTGCGCACTGAACGCTTAATTTACAAGTGTATTCTGTGGATGATTGATTGTGTCATTGTTAATATACACTGAACTGGATAATGGCCAACAATTGAAAGAAAATTAAACCAAGGATCTGTTCACATTCAAGTTCATGATAAACATCACCCTCTGTAATCTGAGGTGTGGATGGTAAATCTCCATTTTTGCTATGGAATTACAGAAAAGTGTTTTAAGTGATTCAGCTAACATCCTTCCATTGCTATTCTTTATAAAAATTCAGCTACTGTTATCGTAGATTATTTGTCAACATATTTTTCATTTTGTTAGTTGATTTTTTTATTATTATATACAAGCTCAAGATGTGGACGTTTCTAACATGGCTGTACTTGTTGCACAACTTTGGTTGGCTTGAGAAAGTGCCATTAACCATCAGCCTTCTTGAACTACTACAGTCCTTCTAGTCATTGTGCCATGCGGGCACTTCTCAGATTTTTGATTCAGTGATAATAAATGATTGATTCAAGAGGTGTTTTTCTGTAAATAGTACTTACTGCAGTTATTTTTCTGTAAATGTACTTACTGGATTAGTGATGCAACAGGAAGCCCATTGAGTTCACTGGCAATCATTTGATTGCTGTGTTCTAGTTGGCAATTCTTCAAAAACCATATCCAATTGCTTTAAATTTTGAGGAAACCAACATCTAGCTGTCAATCTATCGAGTTCATCGTGCCATGTCACTTGGCTAAAATACTACACAAGCAAACACAGATTTAAGAAAATTAAACTTAAGCACTTGGAGAAGTCTTATTCTATCAATTACACTTTGCATAACTTAGAATGTCACTTACATTAGCTGTCTTATAAACTAGTTTACAATGGCGTGAAGATTCCTGCTTCTAGGTTGATCTGAGCATTCGTAATGTCCCAGTTACTTTGAGAATTTTGGATCTCGATCACAAATTCAAAAGTGCCAGATATTGTCACTGGCCATTCTGAATTGTCAGAGGGAGATTAGTTGAAAGGTATTGGATAATTATTTTTCCTGCTCCTAATTAGGTACATGCCAGTGAATGTCAATGGGAGATACCATTAATGTTTGCAGCTTGGACCGTCATCTACACCAAAATACATTGATAGTTATAAAAGCTATAATTCATATTAACACAGAAACAGGGTAATAATGCTCCTAAATGCCTGCAGTGTACTTGGATATGATAACTAATCATCACCACAGATATTCAAAATTTTATGATAACAGGGTGTAGAACTGGATGAACACAGCAGGCCAAGCAGCATCAGAGGAGCAGGAAGGCTGACGTTTCGGGCCTAGACCCTTCTTCAGAAA